GTTAAATGAAATAATTGGTCATGACATAGTTCCCTCTGGATTAGAGATCTTTTCTTAGCTAGTCATCTCAATTCCATTTGATTAGATTAAAAAATGAAGTTTGCAGCATAAATTTGAGACTGTAAGACAATCCAGGATCTAAGGAAATAACTATATCATTAGGCAGGTTGTTTTCCTAAGCATGTACATTTTTTCCTCTCCTCTTCATACTGTAGTCTAACAGCACCCACATTATGTATAAAAACACAGTCTGGATTGAAAGTGCAAACAACACTGGAAATATCATCACTCGAGACAGGACCATCAATGTTGAATTTTCCTGTGCATATGAGCTTGACATTAAAATTTCTTTGGATTCTGTTGTGAGACCAATGCTCAGGTAAGAAAAATAGTGTTGACTCTTTGGGCATTCTGAAGTAATGAAGAATTGGATGAAGGGATTCCATTATCTCATGGATTTTATTTGGAGGTGTGCAGCTGACTGAGATTCTAGGAGTTGAAATCCAAAGTTCTGACACAATGTAAACATTGATTTTTTTTTTAGAAAAAAAAAACCAATTGCTGTAGCTCTTGCTTTATTTATTCCCTTGAAGAAAGATCTTTTATTTTCTGAGTTTGATCCAGTTCTTTAAAAAATACTTCCCTTACTGTCAATTATAGCAATAACATCTGGTTTTGTCTGTTGTCCTCTTTAACAAAATGGTGACATCCAAAATAAATTACTTCCAAGCATTAGTTTTGTAATTTTTGGAAATGTTTCAATTGGATGCCAATTATATAGTTAATATTTTATTAAGTTTGGTAATGGTTAATTCTGTTAATAGGGTGTAAATAAAGATCAAAGATGGAAATAAATTAAATGAATCAATAACAACTATAATAACCCAAATTTATTAGTTTTAAATTCTCAAACAGCAGACTTGTCCCAATGGTGTTTTTTGTGTGTAACAGTTATTTTCTTCCCATCTGTTTCTTTCTTTGTAGTGTCATTAATCTAACTGTGCCTACAAAGGAAGGCAGTTTCACTACCAAAATGGCCCTATATAAAAATTCATCCTATAAGCATCCCTACAGGCAAGGAGAAGTTGTGCTAACCACGCGTGATGTATTGTACGTTGGTGTCTTTGTGCTGGGAGCAGATTCCACTCACCTCATCCTCACACTGAACAAATGTTATGCAACACCATCACGAGACAGCAATGACAAGCTCAGATATTTCATCATTGAAGAAGGGTGAGCTATGCTTTTTCAGTGCCCAGTGTTCGAAATTCCAGAAAAAAAGCTTGTCAGTTCTTGGGTGTTCTGCAGGAAGTAATCAGTGCATTCCTGTTTCTTGCAGTTGTCAGAATATAAAGGATAATACTATTGGAATTGAGGAGAATGGGGTCTCCCTCACCTGCCGTTTTCATGTTACTGTTTTCAAATTCATTGGAGATTATGATGAGGTTCATTTGCACTGTGCAGTCTCACTCTGTGATTCGGAAAGATACTCATGTAAAATAGTAAGTGGTACAAACTCCAGATGCAGTTCACATCAATGTGCTATTTAAGGCTGTCCTAAAAATGGTAATCTGTCTCACAGCTGATCAAAAAGTTGATTTTTGAAAGACAGTATAATTTAAAATGCATGTACTTCAGATACAACTTTAATGATAGGGACCAGCAACTTTTGCTTTATAGCTCAGAGGTTTGGTTAAATACTTTAATCTTGTATATGATTAAGGTGCCTATTTTATCTCTTATCCCTTTGGCTCTCTGGTCCCTGGTTGTCTATTCTTAAAAATTGTTAATGACAAATCATGCAAAGTACAATATATGTTTTCAAGCCAACAGAAGTTGTGTACCACAGAAGCATTTATATCTCTTTCTTTTTGGTTCAATCAGAATTGTCCACAGAATACCCGGAGGGCCAATGATTATTCCAAAAATCTCAATGAACAAATCATTTCTGTGGGACCAATCAGAAGAAAACGTAAGTGTGATGTTTCTCCATTCAGAAATCTGGATCAATTTTACTGCATAGATGCAGGATTAAACAGATTTGTTTGTTTGTTTTTTTGACTTGTGCCTTTTAGGCCTAGATTGGTGTGAAGACAATGGAGGCTGTGAACAGATATGCACAAGCCAGGTGGATGGGCCACTCTGCAGCTGCGTAACTGGAACTTTGCAGAAAGATGGCAAGAGCTGTCGAGGTGAATGAACCCTTTTTCAAGAACTGATAGAAATTTCCTCAGGCATTTATACAGACGACAGAAACTGCATGTTTCTGACTGAAGTTTATATTATTTTTAAAACATGCAGCTTAAATATTCATTGTCTCTTCTACTTTTCTTTGCAGCAACCAGCTCTTCAACTGAGGCTCAAGCCAGGCTGTTTCTGCTTCTTGTCAGCCAGTTGTTCTTATGGTGTAATCTTTCTCAGTCCAGCCCAGCTACATAGTTTATCGAAGTACTGGAATTTGCTATAACCTCCTAGGTCCCTATAAATATGTACAACTCTGAACCTGCAATCCACGTGACTGTCCAACACCATTTGTAATGACAGTCTTTTGTCTGTTACAGCACTGGTGTTATTGGCCTCTTTAAATGGTATTAACAAAGTTGTAAAAATCACATTCTTCTGAACTATCAGGAGATCTGCAAGTTGAATATCCAGTAATTGATTGTTTGTCTTCCCAAGAGTCCAGTTTTGTCTTCATATTTACCAAAATCTGTGTAATCTGAATTATTAAATTTTGCAGGAAACATCTGGGCAGCTTGGCTACTTTCTGAACTTAGGATGGGGAGGGAAAGCAAGAGTAGCTGTTGGATGTCCTGGATTTGACATCCTGAAGTTTGCTTTATAAGCCATTCATTGCTGAGTTTAAATCGCCGTAGAGCTATTTCTTTTATTCATCTTAACAAATTGTGCCCATCTAACAGTTGGTAACCAACCTTCCCTCAGAAGACTAAAAAAATCAACAGCTGGGAGAAAACCTTTGACATGCCCTGAAATGTTACAATTACATTATAGCCATTTTTGCTGGGTTTTTTTTGTATGAACACATTTTTACTCTTTGAATTTAACTTCTTTCTTCTAGATGTTTGCTGGTGTAATTTTAAAATAATTAAACATGGGGAACAAGATCTTGTTTCCTGGCAGCCTTCTATTTTGTGAAGTTTGCTTATATTTGGGACTAGGGGAAAACACCTGTAGTATAGCTAGGCATGTTTTTTTCTTGACATGCCAGTCCAAAAAAAATAATTGAATATTCTCTGCTGTAAATATTTGGAAAACTTGTTGATTGGGGCTTCATAAACTTCCTTTGCTTTCCAGGAAAAAAAATGGATTGCTTTTTGATGGGTTTCCAGAAGGGATCAGCAAATAAAAACTGCATTGGCAAGAGGAAGGGCATCCGGCCATTAAAACACTCTGCTAGTTCCATTCAGTTGCCCAGACTCCATCCCGCAAAGGGATTATGGGGTCGTTAAAAGATGTTGATAAGCAAAGATCTCGCCAAGTCTATCAATACCAAAACTAGTGCCAAAACCAGAGGTGGTATTCAGCAGGTGGTGACCAGTTCTAGAGAACCTGTAACGGACATTTTGAGTATTTCGGAGAACCGGCCAATACCACCTCTGACTGGAGATTTTACAGTATCCTTCTCCTGCCAGGCCCACCGAACCGGTAGTAAAAAAAAAATTGAATTCCACCACTGGTGCCAACCCAAGGAAGGTGAAACTCGAGAACTTTGTATCACCAAAAACGCAAGATAGTGGAGGCGTTGGGAGGCAATGGAAAGGCCTCCCTTCTTTCTCTCCGTTTTCTTGTCACCTCCACAAGCCCAACTTCTTTCTCTCCGTTTTCTTGTCACCTCCACAAGCCCAAGACGGCTCCCTCTCCTCGCCTTTTACCTCAGAGAGCACCCAACCCGAATGGAGGAACCAGTTCGGGGGGGGGGGGGTATGCCGGGGGGGCGTACCTAATCCCGTCCCACCGGGATCAGCCTGGGGACAGGCGGCCTAACCCTCCCGCTCTTTTCTGAGGTAAATCAATTCACCCGCTTCTTC